GGAAGGAAGGAAGGTAGGAAGGTAGGAAGGTAGGAAGGTAGGAAGGTAGGAAGGTAGGAAGGAAGGAGGGAACGACGTTTTTTCTTCTTCTTTGTTTTTTCTCTTTTTTTCTTCTTTCCCTTTGAAAGCACCCACACAGGGGCAACCTGAAACAAACATACCTATGCTGATCCAGGATTGATACACCGCTATTAATATGGGGGGTGTCCCTGGATGTAGTGGGAAATCGTCACTATTCACCCAGGTTATGATTCCGGACTGTACTCTGGGAAGAGTGACCAATGCATATTTGGTGTGATTTGTCAGACCCGAAATTGGGCTTTGACAAGGGGGTTCCGATCGAACCCATCTGTTAGAAGCCGTTCAACGGGTCACCCAGGCACGGCATCAAATTGATGGTAAGCTCCTTCCGGTATCAATACAACAAATCTTGCTGGTGCGTTTTTAGCAGGGAATGAGACATGGAAATTGACCCCCGAGAAAACCATCGCCTACAGTTTCCTAGCTACTCTCCAAGTTCATTCGCTCCTTCCCTGCCTATCGGCCGATCGCAGCAGCAAAAAACACCTCAACGGCCGCATATTTGGGCGCTTGACGCTCGCCAAGTTCGCCATGTTCGCCGCTCGCCATGTTCCGAAGGCTCAGCCATGGGGCTACCTCAAGCATCTTGACCAGTTGCAAGATTTGGAGCAAGGCCCTGGTAGATTTCCATTAGATTTCCCTTGGTTTCTGGTTCTTTTGGGCCTGGGGGGTTCGATCAATTGAACCGCGCGTTAGTCTTTTCTTTCTTTTCTTTTTCCCCCAAGTCCGGGGGGGGGGGCAGGTAACCCTTTGGTGGTTTGGATTGCGGATTTTTGGGGATTTAACGCCCTGTTGGTGGAGGGAAAATGGTGTTCCCCGCCGGAACACCCACCACCAAAGCCCCGATTGGGCTCCAAACCACCGAAAGATTTGGAGGCCACCCCTAACCGCTAATCGACTGGGCTCCAAAGCGCCAAATTAGCTTGGCGGGGCGGGGGGGGGAGTGCCATGGACACGTTTCGAGCCAATGCTGCGGCCAAGTTTCCTGAAAAAATCCAAGACCCTAAAGGAAGGTTGCAAAATCGATTTCTTCAGAGTCCATCACACCCAGGGGGGGGGGGGAGCCGAAGGTGAGCACCGGCATTTGGGTGGGCGCCACTTCGGCGTTTCAGCAGCGCTCGGCGCAACGGGAGCGGTTGGCGCAGGAGGCGCGACGCGGAAGCTGAGGAAACGTCCAAACCGGGGTGCCCTTTTTGGTGAGGGTAAACGTGTAAATCAGCCACTTAAACACATGGGGGTGTTTTTTTCTCTGAGGGTATCTGGCAGTGGAAGGGAACATTGGTTGGTGCAACCAACCCCAGAAAGGCTTTTCAAGAGAGATCCTGGCTGGTGGTTGGTTTTGGAGCGGTTAGAGCTATGGAGCTACCCTAAACCCTACCGAGTAAGAAGGCGAAGCACGCACCCGAGTAAAAGGATGGTTGGGAACCACCAGGCCAAGCATGCGCGTGACCGTCCTTTTTTCAGGGTGCTGGTTTGGGGGAGGTTTCAAAGTTGGAAACCCGCACTTGCCCGTTGCGCCATCTTGGGGTGCGATTTCTAGAAACAGACACCCGGATCTTTCAAGCTGTTGAAGACGTAGTAGCTTTTTTGGTTCAGAGCTGGCTGGACACGAAAGTAACAGTTTAAACTTTTGAATCCTGGGCTTTGAATTCGGCAAGCTTGTCGCGTCAAGCAAGGAAGCAAGGAACATCCGGTACGTCCGTTCCGCTCTGCAAATAGTACAGTTCCAAAACCGAAAGGAGCCCAAGGAAAGCCCTCGTGGTAAGCTCGTTTTACACCCCCGGATCAGTCGCTGAGGCAGATGGATCTGGAAGAATATAGCGACCTCACAATTTTGGGGTTTCTTTAATGGGAGGTCAACGCATTCCCAGCCCATTGATGCAAAGGGGCGGCTGCTGCTTCCCCCTAAACAAATGTATGGTACCCCCCCTTTCAGTACCCTCTTTTCTCACGAAAACACATTTCTGTCGGTAACATTGCAGGGAAATGTTTTTTCCTGCTCCAATTGCTGTTGCCAAAGCACTCTTTTGTTGCTAGCTCAATCCCTGCATCTTGAGTTCCATGTGGGTCGACATCCTTGTCTACACGTGGTATGAAGATGCGACAACACATGTGCCAATATGTACCAGGATGTGCCAGCACATTTTCTCACTTCTTGCTACGCAAAGGCTTAGGGTTTAGGAACGTCATGCGAACCCTTGTTCATTTCATGTGTCGGATGCACAAATTGGAGCCCCGAGAAACTTGAGCCGTTCTGCTCTAGAATCAAAACTGGAGTCCCGAGAATCGCGAATCTTGACTGAACCCAGACATGCTTCAAAGCGCTCGAAGGCGCCGTTTTTGTTCTTGAAAGTGCTAAGTGTGGATTCCTTTCGAGCATGGCTCAAGCAAGTTGGACCCGAACAAACATACGTGTCCTCTTTGTGTTAGTTTGGTGAAACATAGATGGATTCCACTGGTTTAGATTGGTTTTGCGGCCCATCTCAACCTGGGACACCCATCTATTTTTACCAGCAGGGACTGGCTTTACGGCCCATGTTCCGGGGGAACCCATGGATGTTACCAGTTTGGGACACCTCGACCCCACTTTGGCTTCGGAGCTCCGAAGCTGAGCAGCACCGCATCCTTTTTTTATTTTTTTCTCGAAACATAGATGGCGATTCCTGGTTTGCCTGGTGGTTGAATCATCTACCATGGAAACCCATCTATTTGCCCTGAAAGGACCCCTACTGTATGACCGCATCGTCCCATGCCCGGAGGTCAGTTTCTTGGAGGGCGCTTCAGCGCTCCCGGCGCCTTGCGTGACGACGGGGAAGCTGCCGGCCAAGAAGTGAAAGCTCGAGCGAGTGAGCGAGCGAGCTGGAAGTGGAAGGCTTTCTTCTAGGGGTTGATTCCTTGTCCATTCTTTTCAACCATCGTTCTTTTCCAAAACCAGGCGGTTTCCCTGGGTTTCTGGAGGTTTTCTAGAAAGAAGGATCCCTGGAAAGAATGGGGAAGGTACCCCTAGATTTCTGCCCTGAATGTGTAGCCCTTTCACCGAAGTGGGTGGTTTCCTCTTGGTCTTTGCTTTGAACAAACTCCGAAAAGAGGACCTTTCAACATGACAGGGTTTTCCTTTCTGGGACGGATCGCACTAAACGGATCTTCAACGTTGTGAACTGGGAGGTTTCCCTACACCAGCCAGTTACGCGGGCCATTGCCCTATCATCACGCGCTTTTGTCAGAAATCCGCAACCGAATTCGAGCATAGCTTTTGATGCCAGGTCATGGCTCTCCCAAAGGGCCGAACCGACTATAGTTCGAAGAGCCCTTCCGTGAATTGAACTGGCTGCATTTGGGGGCGTGTTCGCTTGTTTTTTTTGGGACCTGCCTAAGAGAAGTTCGAGTCAGGCAGTTCTGTGCATTGAACCGGCAGAAGAAAGTTGGGGCGTCGAATCACTTTTGTTTTTCGGGACCCGGTGGTCACCCCTCACTGGACCTGACTGGACCTGCCTGGACCTCAAAAGGCAGAGTTAGCGCTGAACTGTTGGTGGAGTGCGGTCTTCTTGTTTGGTAGGTTTTTTCTTTGGGCCTGAGAAGACATTATTGTCCTTGGGATGATAAGGGAACCAGGGAAACACTTTCTGTCTCGGAAACGCCTTCGGCCTTGGCAGAAAGCCGTATCAGACGCACTGCTGCTTCAGCGCAGGTAGGCAAGTAGATAGGCATGTGTCAAAGCGATCCGCGCGACCCTCGCCATGATCATTCAGCTGTGTAGTTTGATACAGTTAGGTACTTACAAAGACTACGCCGTGACCATTTAGCGGCGTGGTTTTGATACAGCCAGAAATTTATCATCCCTCGACCCGCCGAATGGCGGGTCTGGAATCTTACGGAGGGGCCCAGCCTTCCCTTTGCCAAAGATTGGGATGACACATTTGGGAGGTTCAGTCAAAATATCCTGTCCGTGGATTGGGATTGACTTGGGGTGGGGGTCCATGCGAACGAGTTTTTTTTTTTTTTTTGCCAAAACCGAAAGTGGGGCTGCTCACCCATTTCAAATTCTGTTTCTTTGTGCGGCTCTGGGGCTCCTTTTGTTCTCAGCACGTCAAACTTCAAACCGCCATCGGGAAACTGGCGAGCGTGGCATCTTTTGGGGTTGTAGATCCCCTTTCCAACAATCCAAATGCTTGCAGGGAGGGCAGCTTTTCCAGGGTGCCCTCAAAAGGATCCGAAACGATTGGACTGGGCCTTTCGCTTTTGGATGCCCTTCTCAGAATCGGGTCCCGATTCAACCAAATGACAGTTCACCGTAAACTCAACCGACACCAAAAGAAAGGGTCGAGATTTAATTTGGGATTTTGTTTGATTGTTTGTTTGTTTTTCCGTCTTGGCTAGCAATTATATTAAAAAAAAAAAACTCCCAAAAGAAAACATGCGCGCGTTTGGCAGCCCAAACCTTTCTGAGGTCGCCTGGCAGCCCGTCGGTTCATCAGCGGCCGAACCCTCTCTCTGGCTTTTCCAAACCCGAACACGCGCTGTGTCCGGGGCGGCGAGCCATCAGCGCAGCGCACCCCCTCTTGGCGGCCCCACTTCACAGGGAAACTCTATCCCCTCCTATGTGCATAGTCTGGAACCAGAGGTACACCAGCACTTGAAAGACTCGGCCAACCTAAGCCTAGAGCCAGTCATGCTGAGAATCCGCATGATACAAAAAATGGGAGCTGTACAAAGTCGACACGCCTTTGTCTTAGACAAAGTGCGAGTGGGGGGGAGGGGGGTAGGGGTTGCTCTCCCATTCGTTTTGAACTCTTCAAGCACCCGCTTTTTTTTCTTCTCCTGGTTTTCAGTGTTCTGAACAAGATCCCTAGAATGGCGGGGGGTTGCCCATGGATTTGCAGGGACCTTCCGGGAAGCGCCCGAAGCCTCGTTCTGCCGAGGCCAAGTGCACATCACTGGGCCGGCGGAGTGCGTGGAGTATGCCGTTGGCCCCAGACCGGGGTTTGACTCAAAAGCCATCCCAATCCTCACTAAAATAGGTCCTAAAATGGGTGGTGCACCTAGCCCAAAATGGTACCATTGGTTTTGACAACCACAGCCATATGACCCTCCAAAACACCGTCGCTAGCCCAGCGCTTTCCTTGCAGGGTTTGGCCCAGTCTTTTTTGTTTGTAGCCGGAGTTCTCCTCCAGCGGTGCGCTTGCTCGCTCGTAAACTGAGCTGAAACCATGATGCCGGGCCCTTACTTGGGCTTTATGGCTGCTTGGTGGGGTCTTTGGACTTGAACTTGTTGGGAAACAGTGGATTTTCCATTGGACCCAAGAAGTTAAGTTTTTTGCAGAGGCGTCTCGACAGCAGCCGAGTGGGGATCCCGTATTTCCGGTTTGTCCAGATTTCAGGGGTTTGAGCAGTGGCCAAGGGTTACGAATCTTTTGCAGCGGGGATTTCGAATGCTCGTACCCCAAACCGGACATGCCCCAAGCGGGCGACCGGACTATCGCCAGGGTGATGTGTTTTTTTTCAAGGGTCTGTGTAATGTCCACTTCGGATGAATCAGAAGGCCCAATCTAGACAACGGTTTGGAGGCGATTTGTGTGGACGTCATCTGTTCCAAGGTCATTGTAGGTTCTTTTTGGAACTCTTTTCGTACTGTTTTGATATCCTGCAGGGGTGACTGTACGAAAGCCGGAATCCAAACCGTTTTCTGGATGCTACAGGGACATGAGGTAACACCCAGAGTAGTATGGCCACCCTGTAAGGACGTGGTGAATTATCCTCCGTTCAACGTGTTTCGCAAAACCTGACCAGTTCGAACCATTATTTTGTCATTCCCGTACGGCGCAACATTTGGGTGCAATTTGTAGAGCCCAAGAAACTCACCCAAACTGCTTTTTTTTAGCTTCTTCCTTTTTCAAGAACATCGAAATGTCCTTCTCCACCCCCTGGGTCAATTTTGTAGATGTCACCTCATGGGACTTGCTAGGGGTCTCGAGCAATGAGGATGACACCCCAAACGAGCCACTTGTTGGGTGTGGGAGCCCCACAGTTCAGCTCGTTTTTTTCCTTTCGCGCCCAGAAAACTGATCGCGAGGCCAAAAAGATGATCGAAGACATGCTGGGTAAGTCACGGGAGGGAGTCAGGACCGAAAGCTTGGAGCTCGCGGGGGGGTTTGGGAGCGTAGGGCAAAGGGGGGAGCTGAGGTTTTCTTCACTCTGGGAAGGTGTTCGGTTTTTGCTTCTCAGATTGCGGAGCCCAACAAGAGGGACTTTCAAAAGGAGATCCCTTCGAGGTACTGGGTCTTTTGGGTTACCTCGGGTGGCTTCCATGTTTACGATCGTGGATGCAGGAAACCGGATTGCTTGGGCTGCCCGAGAAAAGAAGCCACTGACCAAATCCACGACTCGAGAGGAAAGTTCACATTTTACAATGACTGAAGCTGGTGTTTATCTGCATGGGCATTCTTTTCTTGGCGATTCCTCTTTGATGGCTTTCCTGAAGCCCCAAGCCCGCTGCCGGAGGATGTTTGGTTCTGTTCATTTTTCCGGGAGTGCTGCAAAGGACAGTCCTGTTTTTGACGAAGTGGTGAAACGAATCGGGCTGCGCGAATATTTTCCCCGCTACTGTACCAAACCACCATGCTTCTTTACTAGTGATTTCCCCAGTGGATGTGGTTGGAGCAAGACCTAGTAAGACTGAGTAACATTTGGCCCCGTCCCCCGTCCCCTGCCTGAGAATTGGCTTCGCGTAGAGACTGGCAGGATCAAAGTGGAGGAGGAGGACATCAGGGAGTCTGCCGGCGTCCTAACATTGAAGTAAGGGATCGCCGGGTAAAGGGACTTCTTCATGGTGAGCTCACCATAGCCCCCTACCCCAGGTGAGCTTGCCATAAATGATGCAGATAGATTCGGTTTTGAAAGGAAGGGCTTTGCTCAAGTCGATATGGAGTGGTCCAGCTGGAGTTGCCCTCCTTGCACTAACGTGGAACCATTTAAAAGGAACAAGTGACTTCCAGTCAGATTTTCCACGTTAGTGGATGGGAGGGTAACCTGAAAGGGCTCCCAGGATTCCGTCGCCTGCACTAAAACAAGCGCTCTGTGCCTCTTGTTGCTCGAGCTGCATGCAGACGTCGAGCGTCCATGTGAGGCTGGAGCTTGAAGCGGCCTGCCATAGAAGCAATTCGCCATCTTTTGAAAGGGAAATCAAGAGAACACCGTTGCCAAGTGCGGATTCCTATGAGAAACACATGGGATGGATTCGCTTCAGCCGCCCGGGCAACCGGACCCGCGGCCAAGGCCGAGTTGGCACGCTCCACACAGTCGACAGTGCCGCTAGCTCATGCGTTGCTTGGGCAGGGTGACTCCCCAAGGGTTAGGGTTTTGTAGCCTTTTTATCAGGGCCAACCAAGGCCAAATAGTGCCAACTAAGGCCAGATACGATGGGGGGGGGGTTGGTAGAGTCCCTGACATATGCCATTGAAACCATTGAACCTGTGGAAGGTTCAACTCCCCCCCCAACAAAACAGCGTGGGTTGCGCTTCTCGTATTATTCAAGTGGGGGTTCATTAATCCCGAGTTCCCATCATGGGGCCGTGGAACATCCAAAATGAATCTCAGGCTGTGAAAGGTGTTGGTCTCCTCTGCAAATTGATTGGGATTGGCCAGCCTTCCATTTTAAGCAGCCCAGAACAGGTGAATGCATTGGACGCTGGGGTTTTGGCATCTAGATATGGGAGTGCGTTCTTGGAGGCTGGGCCCTTTTGAGGTGATCCGTGTTTAGGGAAACCGCCAGGAAGCCCGTGCTTTGGGTCTGCTATGTCGGCAGGAATCGAGACTTGTCCGAAGGCTGATTTCACCTGTCGCCTTCCATTTCAAATGGCTGGTCCTACCGGTTTCTCCAAACAAAAAAACACGAAAAAGGGGGGGGGTACCGGTATCATCAAAAAATACAGACTGAGATTGAATCACTGGAGTGATCCTTCGTTTTGGTCATTTTCCCATTTTCCCATGGGGAAACGACCGGTATCAAAGAATCACAGACCCAAAGGGGCTCGAAGTATCAGCCTTCGCCTAAGAATTGGCTCGGCGGTTGTCTAAAAGTAGATGGGTTCCACTGGTTTAGATGGTTTTTTGTTCCATTTACCAGGGACACCCATCTATTTTTCCAAAAAAGGCCACCTATTGCCTGTTGGTTTTCCTTTAAAACGGACATCACACCCGGCATTTTGCGTGTCAAAATAAGGCGGTGCCCCTTTGGTTTCAGACCACCCCGGCCGCGGACTTTGCTCGGCCGCCCGAGGTATGTCCCGCACGAGCTGATCGGCATGCTGATCGGGAAAGGCCCTTTGTGGCCGTGTTTATTGACGGCTAAACGCATGTGGGTGTATTGTTTTGAGGGCACCCCGTTTTTTCCTTTTTGTTTTCCCGCCACTTTTTTTCCGTTTAAAGGGGGAACCAAAAGGAGCACCACCATTTTTGGGGCCAACAGACACGGCTGTAGACCCCTAGCTTAAATCCCTGGAAATGCGAATCTCTATGGGAATATTCAGATATTCCACAGCATTCTTCGGGCCCAGCACTCATATAGGTCTGGCTCAAAATAGGGGAGCTCCCAAAATGGGTGGTTTCCTTTTGGCCTCCTTTCAAGCCATCCCAAAAATTACCTTCCAAAAAAACACACACGCCCGCATAGTCTGTGTCTGTGGTTCACTGGTCACTGAAAAAAAAGAACACGAACTCGCCGAAGCTGTTGAATGGCGAAGCCGTCGACGCTTCTCTCCACGTTTCTGGACAGCCAGTTTGGGGAATATCATAGAGTGGTAATTCACTGGATCGGAAGTGAGCTTCCCATCCACTCGGGATTCGCTGTTGGCTTGGGGATCCCGGATGACTTGCTGGTGCTCAGAAGGGAATGACTCAGGGTGCTGGGAACGGGATTCCCTTAAAGGATGTCATAGGTTGGATGTTGCTTTTCTCGGTGTCATTCCCTTTCTCATTCCCTGCATCTCTCAAACCAGCAAGATGAACTCGCAGGCATTACCAAAAACACCTTTGGGCCCAGCACTTAGGTTCTCCAAAAAGGGGGACCCCCCAAAAAATGGGGTGGTGTCCTTTCTCCCGGAGGTACCGTTCTCCTTCTGGCGGAAGCGCGTGTTTTTTTTCTTCTTCTCCCCGATGATTCGCAGACCAGGAAGGGCCAGACAGGAGCTTGGGCCAGAGGAGGCTGAGGCTTACGGTTCAGCCTGGAGAGTTCTTTGTTCCTCCTTCTGTGTTCTTTTGTTCTCTTCGGAAAATGGGCCAAGCCCCGGTGAAAGTGGGTGGTCTCTCTGAAGAGCATGGGCCTTCTCTCCGAATGTGACCTTTAGATTAGGAGGGAGGTGTTCCTTAGTTGGATTTCCTTTCAGTTCTGGGGCAAACGACGAATTTTTGCCAATTCAGACAGATTGGCGCGAATAGGTGCTTCTCCCATTCGCGAACAAGGGGCTCCTTCTTCTTTTTCGGTTTTTTCATGCCCCTCTTTCGTCCACTGGGGCCCAGCTCGGCTCTTTCGGCGTTTTTTTTTAGGCGGCGAGACGATCCAGCGGATCTCCAAGGATGCGGCGGTGCGCATCGAGATCCTCAAGGACGGGATGCCTTGAATGGATCTACCCAAGGAAGGCCCGTGGGCCGCGCCCCGAGGAGAAGAAAAATGAAGTTGTTCACCGTTCTTGGCATGTTTTTTCTTTTTTTTTTGGTCTTTTTTTTTTTTGTCCTGTTCATTTTTACTGGGGGTTTGCAAACAACCAAGTTTTTCGCTACCATACCAAGAGTAGAGATGAAATTGTTTCTTCCAGCTATGTCAAATTCATATCCCGGATGTGTTTCGTTCCCTGAACAGGCCAACTGGAAAACAGCGAAGAGATCCCAAGACAGCTGGACAGGCGGCAGATCCGGATCGGGGTCGCCAAAACCGTGTCATATTTTGAGGCAGACTGAATTTGAAGCACCTGAACCATATCATTTTCTGTGTACCCCAGATGTGGGCCAAGAATTCTCGAAGAGCCCTGGACGCCCCCTAGATAAATGGAAGTCCGTTTCGTGAAACGGGAGTTGAACAACCACGTCAAAGACCAATAGACAACGCCTCCAGACCCTGGGTATACCAAACCGGAACCATTTGAGCGCCCAAAATCCCCCATACCTCATATGGGTCTGCCTCATTCAAAATGGTGGTTTTCCTCTTGGTTTCCCTTTGAAACCATCCAAAAGGGGACCCTCAAAAGGGGAAGCTGCACCTAGTATGGGTCGTAGTATGGCCAATACAAACCTTTATAACCATGTTGGTGGAACCGACAGTCAATGGGTGAAACGGGCGCTGCTCATGAAACGGCCAACCCTTAGGACCCAGATCTCCAATCACGTTACCAATGGAAGTCAAGTAACAGCTGCATGATTTTGGGCAAACTATAGCGAGTCAATAGGGGGCGCTGCGACGTGAAGGTTCTTTTTTTATAGAGGCCCCTTAGTTTCGCTGGGCGACATAATATGATTTGCCCAATGATTGCTCATGGCTTGCTCTTGAGAAAGTTTGGTTTGAAGGTACTGCAGAAACCCAATCTCATTACTACCTTCATACTGTGGATGGACAACATCCACTTCGCACCAGGTAGGTGGTTTATCCAAGTGAGTCATAATCAAAACCCGGGTAATTGCAGTGTAGTAAGGGACAATCCCAGCCATAAATGGATGCCTTTCGCCTTTTCAATCCTTCATACAGTTCTGGGTTCACCATTTTCGAACCAGGTTTTGACTATGACTCAAGTATTACTACCCTCATGCTGTGGATGGACAACATCCGCTTCACACCAGGTAGGTGGTTTATCCAAGCGTTCACCGGGCTTTTTTATCCCCGCATGCTGAGCGGGCGCCGATCCGCGGTTTTTCGCCCAGCCAGTCGTCGGCGTCTGGGCGGCAGGATGAGAACGCGGAGAAGAAGGATGAGCGCCCCATCCTGGTCTCCGGAGCGCTGGGGGCCGAAGTGACAGGAAGCGACCGTAAAGCATTCGAAGGCCAAGGGTCCGGAGCTCTCTGTGCAAAAACAGGATGGGCAGTTGTCAGAGAAATTGCTCCCCCATTTTTGGGGGGCGCCAGATTCCTGCTGTTTAAGCATCCTCCTTTTACTTCCCCTACAAAACGGGCTGTTCCCCGCTATGCAAGTGCCGAGTGTCTCCCGCCCAACGTGGCAACGGTTTCCTGTTGGTTCACTTTGAAACCAGAAGGGCCCACCATGTTGACAAGTTCCCTTTGGAGGAGGCGATGATTCAACCAGTGTTTGGTGAGAGTTGGCTGAAGTCTCTGCTCACCAAAACACTGGTGGAGTTAAGGCAGGCACCTTCCTGCCCTTGCTTTTCTCACTTCTGCTGCAGCCATCTGAGTTATCCTTCGCACTTGCCGTCCAAGTGGTAGGTCGATCTCACCAACCAAACCAAGCCAATATGGGAACATGGTCTACTTTCTAAGTACTTTGCAGCACTTTTGAGCAGAACTTTCTCCTCCTGGGAGGGTTGCGGTATGCTCAAAAGGTATGCTCAACGGTTCTTGGATTGCTGCATATGGACAATTCTGCGAAATTCGGTCGCTAGGGCAATCGTAACTCCAACATGGCAACAGCTGGCTAACGTGACGTGTCCGTCCCCGCCCGATTGCTACACCCAAGGCCGCACTTTTTAAAATGGGTCGCTTTGACTGAAGGAGTTGATTTGAAGTTGGCGAGGTCGAAACGGGCTGGAGGTGCGTGGCCAAACAGCACAAACATTTAAGCAAGCAGCACTTGGTTGAGATGTGTCTAAATTGGCAAGGTGTCCCTTTCCAAACCTTTCATTGACACCTGTGGGGGGCTGATCCCAGCTTAGCAGTACTGTCAGTCGGGTTGACGGACGGCAAGGGGAGGGGAAGGGGGGGGGGAAGGGAGGGAAAGTGAGGGAACGACGATATGAGGAGTCAAGCCAGGGTATCCAATTGAACATAAAATAGAAGGTACACTCTTACGACCAATGTTTTTAACATCAACCAACTTTTCACAACTTAAGTGCATTTTTGTATTTTATATTATATTTTTTTTGGGTGGGTGGGGGGTGGGTGGGGTGGGGGTGGCAACCGACTCGAGGCCTGACGCCATCGAGCGCGCGCGGCGCATGATCGACGAGACCTTGGGCCGGTCCCACGAACGCAACGAGCCGCGGGCCTCGGCTCCGAGGTTTTCGGTTTCGGTCACTTTGAAATCGTTTTTTTGTTTTTTTTACCCCGTTTTTTTTACCCTTTTTCTTTTCTTTTTTTTCTTCCTTTTTTTTCTTCCTTTTTTTTGTTCTCCTTTTTGTTTTCCGATCGGTCAATTTGGTCACTGTCTCTTTTTCATTTTGCTCAGGATAGTCACTTTGGCCTCTTTGGTTGAGATGATTTTGTCTCATTGTTGCTTTGGCCATTTCTTCTTTTGCTTTTCTTCTTGGCGGGTTATACGCTTTATTTTAAATGAACATAAATCCCAAGGTTTTATTTAAACCCACACCAACGGCACTGGTGTCCGTTTGCGGCGACTTGCACGCTGCTGCTGCTGCTGCTGCTGCTGATGATGATGATGATGATGATGATGATGATGATGATGATGATGATGATGATGATGATGATGATGATGATGATGATGATGTTATCGACTTTGAGCGCGCTATCCGTCACTAATGTGAACCAGAGGAACGATTGGTGACCATCGGCCAACATTGGTGACGTTTGGTCACAATTTTTGACTATCGTTGACCCCTTGTGACTCTTGGTTCTCATTTCATGCAGTAATGGAGCAGGAAGAACCATAGTCTGCCACAATATTTGACTTTGGAGGCACTCAGCCACCGCTTGGATCGTCAGGCCAAGAGTCTGCGGAACCGGCTTCCTTTCCAGATTTTGATGCGACGGTCGCTTCCGCCAGCGGTTGAAGTCGGAGTCAGGACTTGGCATCTGCCAGACTCCCTTTGGAGCGGCTTTCCAATGCTTTTGTTTAATCGTATGAAGTCACCCCAAGCTTTATGGGGAGCCTTTCCAGTCTTTTGTGCGTTTTGCGGTTGCATCTTCTGTGCTTGCAGGATATCTGTAAACTGCACTGGGCAGAGAGTAGCAAGGGTACAGGACGCCTCTTAGGCACCTTTGCTCAAAACCCGGGTATCTGGAGAGCACGGGACAATCCCCTTGCAATAAATGGGTGCGGATATCTGCCCTTTTCTCAATTGTTGAAGCATGGTTCTGGGTAGACCAGTGTAATTTCAGCTTTTGATTGTGACTCAATTGATCTGTTGAAAAGTCCCCCACTTGATTCCTGATTTCAGGTTTGCTGGTTGCCAGTCATCGTCCCACCTGGATTCTTTGGTATTTGGCGCAGAACCCTTTGCACCCATCGCCCCATGTTACGGTGCTGAGGCGAGGCGACAGGCCGGGATCGGAGTGGCGGCGAATCGCCGGTCTTCTCAAATTCTCAGTTGTTCAGTGGCCCCGAGTCTCTTCTTCCCCCCTTTTGTTTTTCGGGTGGCTGCCCCAAAAAAAATCCGGCCCCAGCCCCAAACAATTTGGGTTCCAAAATTCCTTTTTTTTCTCCCAGGGTCGCTGAAACAGCTGAGACTTGGGTCAGGAGGGCGTGTTGAACCAGCCATCCGGTTCCTTAGGCCTCTAGGAGGCGATTTTTTTGGTGGGTTCTGTGGCTGTTTGTTTTCTTCTTTTCTTTTTTTTTCTCCGTTTTTGACACACGGGTTCGTGACTCCTAGCAACGGATCTGAAAATGAACCGTGCCAACCCACCCAAATTTCTGGGCCGTTCAAAAGGGAATCCGCAAGATCATTACCTTGGGCGCAAGGAACCGGTCCCCATGATAGTGTCTTCCCTTTGAGGAGTATGAAAAAGCGGATTGGCCAGCCCTCCATTTCGAACAGCCCAGGGGCGGCTTTCCTCGGTTTGATTCTATGGGTTTTGGGTAGACTCCTTTCTGTCTTTTTTGTATTACACGTTTGGACTTGTGTGTAGCAAGCATTGGCTCTGCATTGACTCTGACCCCCCCCCCCCCGCCCTGATATTCTCTGTTTTCCCACACCAGAATTGGGGCGCCCGATATTTACACCACCCAAAGGAAACTCACTTCAAAATTGGCCGGCGGTCATTTGACAGCCCAGAAAGGAGGGATGGAACCTCCAATTGGCCGAAAATGTTTGAAAACACGCAAAAGGAGGAAACAAAAAGGGGACCCTGCTATGCCTAAGGGCTTTTAAACCGGCTAAGCAGCAGAATCCCAGATGTTCAAAGGGGGTAACGCAGCAACCTCCCTGCGCGCACAGTGCCAGGAGGATCGCCGGCGGGCGCATCATTAAGGCGGGTTTGGAACCCGGAAACGGCAGGTTGGCGAATGGGACGTGGACACGTGGTGGCCCCCTTCTTCTCTCATCCGTTTGGAGGGGTTCCATGAAACAACCAAGCGTTCCCTTTTCCTGAGGCTGGGAATCTGAAGTGACCAAAATTCAGCAACCTCCTGTTTCAGCAGTTGCTCTTTGATTCTTAAGCAGATCTTGCAAGCAACACTGGTAATCAATGGCTCAACATGCTTTGTTTTGTGGCACTTCTAACCTTCAATCAATTGGATTCATGACATGGGGTTTCTCAAGCACATTTTTGAACATCGATGTTGTCCTTGTTTTTCTTTTTCAGCTACCCATTTCGTTCCTAGACACCCAGTGCTCCCTTGTAGGGTTCAATGTCCATAGCTCTGATGCTTCTTGTCGAGAGGACAATTGTTTAAGTCGGCTTACCAAAAAGGAAGCCACCGATTTTTGACCCCCATAATCAGGGGAGTGACAAGCATCTGCTGGCATTGCCTTTCACTTGTTCGGTGTTGGTATGCCACATGGGTTTGTCTCATATTGGGATCTGGACCCGCAAGATGCTTTGTCTCTCAACCCAAACATTGCTGGTGCTCGGTAGGGATTGAGCCAGAGTTTTGGGAATGAACCTAAGGATTCCCTCAAAGGACACCATAGGGGGTTGTTTATAGGGGTCATTCCACTTCTCATTCCCTGAGAACAAGCATTCGCTCATGATCATGACTCAAAGACACATGGCTGTGGTTGTCAAAACCAATGGTACCATTTTGGGGTTAGGCGAATTCACCACCCCTTGTAGAACCTATTTTAGTGGTTGGATAGAATCGGATGCTCACTGGGGGCTAACCGATTTGGATTTGGACCCATGGTCACCTCGGCTTTTTCACGCACGGACCCTCGCCAAAATCTTCGCATCGCAGGTGCCCACGGAAATGATCGGCTGGGGGCCCCGCCTTTCGACGGGGAAGTCGTCGGTTGATAGGGGCTCCCAACGGATCATGAAGAAGGCGAGGGTTTCCTCTGGGTGTCCCTGAGCAACGCTCGCCAAACTTGTCTTCCCTTTTTTTGTTTCTTTTTTCTTCTCCTGTTTTGAGCCAAGCTTAGGTGGTTCCCAGACATCCCTGTAGGCTTTTAGCCTTTGTGTTTGAACCCGCAAGAAGCTCGTCACTTTTAGCTCGGGATCCGAAAACGGACAGAAAGCCCACGAAGCCTGGAAGCTCCAAGTGAGGGATCCCAGCCAGTGGACCAGCATCCTCGAGACTGAGGTGAAGTGATTTGCACACAAACGGCTGTGGTGGTCAAAACCGTTTTGGGATCCCATTTTGGGGTAGGCGAATTCACCACCCATTTTAGAACCTATTTTGCTGGTTGGATTGAATCGGATGTTCACTGGCAGTACGGGATTTTTGACCCATGGCCAAATCAGGGCTCCCTTGACTGGTCATGTTGCCCCACCCGCAGCGGAAAAACAAAAAAAACCCAAAACAAAAACCGCGTGCTGGTGTCTCCATCAGCTTCTCCATCAGTTCCGCCCCTGCGTCCTCATGGCGCCCTGGTGTCAAGGGGCTTGCGGTTTGGGCAAAGTGCCACGGCCCGGACCCACCTTTGAATCCTTCGGAGGTGGTTTCCACAGGTGGCTTCTTTTCGCGGTGGTCGTGGTGGTGGTGGTTTTTCGTGGTGGCCCCCAACCACTTGAACAGTGTCCACAGGTGCTTTGCTCCAGATTCCCAGTTGTCTGAAGATGAGTGGTTTCTTTCAACAGGTGGCCCGGATCTTGCCGAGAACCGGAAGGGCCGGCTGTATATATACCCGGCGCAGTTCGGAGACCAGCCATCCGCTTGTTCTAATTCTTAGAGTGGTTGAATTTCAAGTACAGTGTTCTATTGGAAAGGAAGATGGTGTACCATTTAACTCGACATAGAACAATCAATATTCAAGTTCCAATTCAAATTGAAATTCTGACTGGAGTATGTCCCGTAAAATTTGGTCTGGTTTTGTGGGGGGGAGTTGCTCCGGCATGTTGCAGGTCTCGTTTAGACCAAACAATGGCCGTTGTGACCAATTCATGAGACACCGCTGGACCTGCGCAAGGGAAAACCGGAAGGACACCACCCACGCTGCAAGTTCCCCCCCCCCCCCCCCAAACAAAAAGAAAGAAGAAGAAAGAGACCCGTTGAAGTCGATATACCCCCTTTGACCCTTGAACAATTCTTGATTTTCTTTTATTATTGAGACCTTCAAAGTTGAAAACCCCCTTAGACCCTTGAACAACTCGTGCACACGCCTAAGAGGTCACCAACCGGACCAACTCCCGTAAGAACTCCTTGCAGGTGCGCTGATCGGAAGAGGGGGTGAGACCATCGGCAAGATCTCCAAAGACTCAGGCGCGAGGATAGAGATCAACAAGGCGAGGCGTGGCGAGGGGCGTCGAGTCGTCGAGGGCGTTTTTGGTTGGCAACCCGGTGGGCGGTGGTTGTCACACGGAAGGTGGGTTGCAGAACCAATTTCGAAGCCCAAGAGGTTTCGAAGCCAGAAGTGAGAAGGGGGTGTTATGTATATATATATATATACACATAATATACAGCTTTTTTCTAACCCGGGTCGACTGGGTGCTCTTATTTTCTTGGGGGGGGGGCAAGTGGCCCTTGCGGGTTGGAAAAGGGGTCCCTTGCTTTGGCATGCTTGGAACCCCTTTGGGTTGGAAGCGAGGACGGTTCACCGAACACACTGAACTCGAGAGCAGCAAACAACTCACGACAGCCATGAACTGACACCTGGAGTTTTTGTTTTTTTTCTTTCTTCCTTTTTTTTGGTGGGAGACCGAACCCCAAAAGCAATGCCTGAAAAAGAATAAGGCGTAGCAAAGTAGAAGTTGGCTGTGGGTCAAAACCAATGGTACCATTTTGGGGTAGGCGAATTCACCACCCATTTTAGAACCTATTTTAGTGGTTGGATTGAATCGGATGTTCACTGGGGGTACGGGCTTTGGACTTTGACCCATGGCATATTTGCTTTTTCTTTCTTTCTTGGGAAACCATACAAAGACAACGAAGCCCATCAAGTAGGGTGGGTGGGGGGGGGAGAAATTTGGGATGTGAGAACTGGGGATTACGGGGGATTTTGACCCATAGCCATTTGGTTTTGGGGGGGGGAGTTTTTTTTTTTTTGGGGGGGGGTACCCATTTTAGGACCTATTTCAGTGGTTGGATTGAATCGGTCCCGTTCACTTGGGGTACGGGCTTGGGATTTTGACCCATGGCCATTCTGCGGGGGGTTGGGTTGGGTCCCTTTTTTTTTTTGGCCGCCCGACCTTCGGACCAGTCAGGACGACCGGGACGCCCCGGACCGGGACGTGACCATCACCGGGTCCAGCGAGGCCATCGCGCGAGCGCGGGGGCCGAGCTGGAAAGCTGGAAGCCGGGGCAGGTGGCCAAGCCGAGAGGCGGTGTCTCTTTTTCTGGTAAAAACCCCCTGCAATCCTTCCATTTGCTGAAATGAATATGTTTTTCCCGTTTTGGTTTTAAAAGGAATTTGTCACTACTGGACATATTTTTCTTTTATCCAGTTAACCAAATGGAAGCATTGTTTGGGGGGTTTAAAGGAAAGCCAATAGGAAAAAAACACACACACAAATAAATGTTTTGTTTGGTGGGGAGGGAGGACGCAATGCAAAGGAGTCAAACACAAATCAAGACACCTCAAATGAATACTCGAGAAGCATGTTCATAAGGTTCCCGATGTCGACCCCGTAACTCAGAGTGTGTGCTTCCCCCAAAGCGAAGGATTACCTCTTCAATGGGATAGTTTCGGATTAGATCGGATTTGCCATGTCACCTGTTTCACCCGTAGATTGGCGCCTTTGCCAGACCATTTCAATACAAGGCTTGGTTTTGACTCACCTGGATCTGCCCATGCTGGGCAGTTGCCAAGCGACGTGCTGACAGCGCATAGGTGGGTGCAGCGCAGCTTTGGCCATGGTAAGCGGGCCGTGATTAACAAGGGGAAGGCCCCGCCCGAGCAAGAACAATAAAACGCATAAAGAAGGCAAGGGGTTGATTCATCTTGGTTGCCCATTTCCACCCAGAAGCCACAGATGCGCTGGGGTGAAAAAGAAGAAGATTCAGCCACTTTTCACGGTCACTCTGTCGAACGCGCAATGGTTTGGGGCCTCATTTGAGTTCCCCCCTGCGTGATTGACAGGAGGTGCGGCTCCCTAGCCGTCCACAAATTTGATGGATCCAAGGACCTGGGCAAAAAAAATACGTCGAGTCCACTGATCCCGGGGGGAAACGACCTCACCCACAGAAGTGTTGTGCTGGGGAATTCCTCACCCGTAAACTTCCTGTTTCCCACACCACGATCTGAACTTCAAGGAAACCACGCGGTGGGTGGGTGGGTGGGTGGGTGGGCGGGCGGGCGGGCGGGTGGGGGGGTGGGGATCCTTTGATTGCAGCGTGTTTTTTTGCCAATATGGATGGTAAGCTTCGGAGTGGCCAGCCCTCCATATTGAACAGCGGTCTTCTACTGGCCATGAACTTTACTGGGGAACCAGCAACCACAAGTGGCTGGTAGACATTTCCATCCGCGAATTTTCATGTCCACCATTTCGTCCATTGAAAGTCTCACCCCTGGAGCCGGACTGCCCGGTTTCAGCAAAGCCAAGGGGTCGGTCAGTCCAACGAGAAGGACGGCCCGGCGTGAGCCAATGAGGTCTCCAAATTTGCGCCTGTATTTGGAGGGAGCCTTTCGGAGGTAGGGACTCAGACCCGGACGGGTCCAACCAGCCAATGACAAACAAATCGCCTCATCCGCTCCTCGAGACCCGTCCCGGGTCCCAAGCAGCCAATGAGAAGAATTTCGCCTCACTCACTCTCATCCATTTGCTCAAGAGCATTTTTTATTATTATTTTCCCTTGCTGGCTTTAAAGGGAATCGATTTCACTACTGGACATATTTTGAAGCAAACGGAAGAAAAACACCTAAAACCAGCCTAGTGAACCCTACAAGGGCCAGTGCGCCTATCCGTGGAAGGACGAAAAAAAAAGAAAAGACGCCCCAGAAAACTACGCCCCTCGCCACCTGGAAACTTCCCGAGGCCCTCAGGGACATCGATGACGTGCTGGACGGTGCGGAGCGCGCCGGCAAGGGCAGCCGCCGTGCCGGGCTCAGCGGGCCGCGCGCCGATTTCGAGTCGTGAGTCGATTTCGAGGCGTGAGAAGGACGCGAGTTCGCGCCGCAAAGGGGGGGGTGGTCCAAGGGAGGGGCGGAGGGGTGTGTGGGGGGGGGGCGGGCTGAACGAACCCCTAGTTGGAACACTAAGGGAGTCCAAACACACATCCCCATTTTTTGCTCGTATGTCGAAGAGGGGGCGGGGGGTGACCCCTAAAGATCTCCATTTGTGGTTATATTTTCATACTAGATAAATGGAATCGGGGCCCCTCGAACGAAGCTCCAATTTCCCATGCCCTTACGAAGGAAACCTTCGTGATTTTGACCGTACTTGTGGATGGATGAACTCCACGATCGATTTGCACCAGTTGGGACTGGCGGTTTAGCAACCAGCATGGTGCGAAGCGACTTTGGTAGGGCAGTAGGCACGGGAATCCATTTGGCGTGAAAGGAATTGTCCACATGTCCCTCCGCTAGACATGGACATCTGTTTGCAGGGAGTTGACTTCACCCCAGCGTTCTTCTTGCTGCTCCTTTCGCTGGGCTGGGAGCATCTTGCTATTTTGTTCACGACGGACAGGGAGTCCCCAGAGCCCCAACATTGGTGGATTCCCTGTTGGTTTCCCTTCGAAACAACTCCAACATGGGCACCCTCAAAAAGAGACACGAAGGTTCCTCTGGGGAGGACAAGAAGGTAGACGGCTCAGCTATATTTCGGCCCTACTTTTTCACAGTATGGAATCACCTCGAGATATGGGGGTCGTAACGGACCATTTCAAATTCGGGGGCCGTTTTCCCTTTTCAGGAAACAAAGAAAAACAAATATCTAGGGATCCATTTCCCTTATGGCAGACATCCATGGAGCCATGAATTCCGATCAACGCCCTTGGTTGCGGCGATATTGTAAAGAATAATAGGTCCCCCCAGCTAGGTGCCCTTTCTCACCCCTTTTTTGGTTGGGAGGGTTTCACTACTAGAGTCGACTACAGAAAAAAGACGGTACCCTTATGCTAAGCTCTCTGCCGGAGGACCTAGCATAGTGCCTATCTTGATTCTAGTGCTAAATCGCAATGCGCAACATTAAGATGACCTTTTGAAGCCACAGCACGAAGCCAAACTACAACAGACTAAACCCAGGTTCCTTTTCCCCCCCAACCTTTGCTGCTTAAAAACCAGCCGCCTCGCTCGCAGCTTCCAAGGAAGGAGAGCCACCGACGTGCGTGGGCCCCAGCCTTTGTCGTATGGCATTCGCTTGGGGGCTGCAACTTAGATCAGGGCGTCCAGAAGTTTTCGATCGCTTCAGTGGAGACCACCAGGAAATTGATCAACTTTTTATGTGGGGAAATCCAGTGACCCTTGTAGATCTGTTTGAGAACTACTTATTTTTTGTTCTTTCCTGCGCTGCACACATCTTTCAACTTTGAGCATCACCTTCTGGGTTCAAGAAGAAGCTTCCCATTGTGGGGGTTGAGGCGTACTCCAGCTTCCTCCCTCTCAAGCCAGGCCCAGCAAAGCTTTCTGTTGGGGCTGGGGAGATCCCCGTTTCGTTTTTTTTTTCCTTCCCCCTTTTCTTTTGTTTTTTATCTGTTTTTTTTATTCTCCGTTTTTTGTTCTTCTTTGCTTTCTTCTTTTTTTCTCCGTTTTTCCCCCCTTTTTTCTTTTTCTATTTTTCCAGTTTTTGTCAAAGGCAAACCAAAGCGAACGCGTCTTCCCCCGGACCTTAAATACAAAGACACCCCCCCTTCGCCCGAGACAAGTGCAGCTAGGGCGTCGACTCGGAATCTGTGGACGTCCGAACAAAAGGCGCTGGCCGGCCGTTTGAAGTGCGAACTTCAAATCATGAAGCTTTACGGTTGTTGGCATGTGTTTGGGGCTGACTAAACCGGAAAAAGCTTTACTGTCGTTGTGCATTTGTGTCACGTTTGGTTAGGGTTGGAAAGTGACCGGTCTTTGATTTTCTTTGGTGAAATGCTTGCAAGAACTCACATCCCCAAAGATGTTTGGTTCCGTTTGGATGTCGCAATACAAAAACATCATCCCGAAAACGGTGGGTACCCTCCACAAACGACATACAAGCAAGGCTGTGTGAAAGCTCTGGGTCTTTGTTTCTCGAAGAGCACGAACTGGATTTGGGTGCTCCAAGTTTCATTCCGGTCACCATCGCGAGCGGTCGAGAAATATGATGTGCCTAAGGAAGATTCAGAGGTTGGAACTCCGAAACATGGTTATTGTTGGGAACCATGTCACATTCTTGCTTATTGTGGTTTAATGGGAAGCCCCCACTTCACTGCAAAAACATAAATTTTGCTCCCCTTCCAACGTCAACCAAGGAAACAGGATGGGTGACGTAGGGGCCTCACAGTTCTCTAGAACCGCCGCTCGTTTGTCAAAGCGTGTCGCCTCGCTAGGCTGGACGAGGCAATGGGACTGGGCGCTTGGGGGGTCTCTGTGCCTATGCTTTTTTGTCCGGGGTGGACATCATCTGGGGGGCCATGGATCAGGTACCCTGCGGGCCTTAGCAGCTTTAATCTAATCCTAAGCATCAAATGCCCCAAAGAAGGTTGCATCCATCTTTCAACCCTTTGCCACAATGGACACAATTTTCCTCATCCATATCATTCTTCAACACCTGGCGGGGAAATGGCTGGGGGGATCCTAGAATGAGAGGCTTCTAAAGAACACCTCGAAGGATTTCTGGCACCCAAATGGGTGGGTGGGCCTTTTCCTTTGAAGTTGGTAAATGGTGTGTGGTTTGCGGGGACTTTAGGACTTGAATAGAAGCCTTTGCTTTTTTTTGGCAAGCGGGCGGGTTTCATTTGTGTCTATCTGTGGCACATGTCCACGGACGTATTGTGGGCAAGACCAACCCAACAGTGGATTTTCGTTCCCTGGGTGTCAGCTGTCAGTGACGCCAAAAGAGAAACGAGGTTTCCTATCAAACATCAGGGGTGACACAACCCCTCCAAAGACCCTTCCCAGCCTTCTTCAGGCCAAATAAGACCGCCCCAGACTTTGGGTCCCTTCTGTGTGGGGCTGAAAACTCCCTCATCTTTCTCACTGTATAGCACCCAACTAGTTTTGGTTGCTGCCGCCAGGTCGCTTATGGTTACGACCACCCAAACCGGCAAAAAAGCATAGTTTCTCTGTAAATGAGGGTCCTCCAACAGGATGTGCTTTAGCCCCAAGCATCATTGGATCCTGTGTTGATGGGGAAAGACCTCCATGGAAAGGTTTTGGACCGCAAAAGGACTTGTGAGGGGCCCAAGATGCCCATGGAGATACCAATTTATTCGGTTCATTGCTTGGTTTTGTTCGGTCGGTGGACATAACTCCCCACCCAAAGGCCGCTCGAGATACAAAAGGCGTGCTTTGGGAAGACACGGGAATGCTTGAAGCTTGCAGTGACGCTGCTTGCTACAGGGCAATCTCCACCGCACGAAGTTTTTGAAAGCCAATCTTTGAATTTTCCGAATACCTAAGGTGATCGACCGGTTGCTCAACAGCCATCTACACATTGAGGCATCAGCACGAATGGGTGTGTCTTTTTTTGAGGGTACCAACAAATGTGGTGTTGCTTTTGGTTTCGCCTTCCAACAAAAAAAGGCGATCCCCCCAGTTTTTGTTTGGTTGGATTAAAATGGAAACCAAAAGGACCACCGAAGCGATTTTGGGGGGTACAACCTTAGAACAGGTACCCCCCAAAGTCGTGGTGTTCCTTTTGGTTTCCCCTGCAAACCAACCAAACCAGGGCTCCAACCTTAAAAAAGCTAACAACAATGACAGACCCCTATGGGCATGATTGGGCATGGGTCAAAATGAAGCCACACGCAGACTTCTCAGTCCATGGTTTCCATGTACCGCTGGGGCCCATCCCCTTTGGGGCATCCCCGCCTTTTTGAGGTCTCCTCATCGCACGGATTTTTCTCTCCGCCCGGGCGATCGGCTCGGCGCCCCTTCCGCTAGGCGCTGGTGCCTGTGGACCGCAAGCCTTCGCCGGTGAAAGACAGCGGGGGCTCGCGGCGGGGGGGGGGTTGGGGGGTGGGAAAGTCGCGGGGCTTGGGAGAGACCCTCGGGGCGAGTTTTTTTCGGGTCTTTGCGGGCGTGTACGAAGCATAGGTGTTTTTGTTTTTGGTTGTTTTGGTCGAACAATGGATGGCGATTCCTGGTTTACCTGGTGGTTTAATCATCTACCAGGGAAATCTATTTCCCCGAAAAGGGCGCCTATGCTAGGAAGGGTGTCTTTTTTTTGCGGGTACCGCCTTTTTTTCTTTGTGGTTTTACAGGAAAACCAAAAGCAAAGCCACCATATGCGTCTAGGGTGCCACATTTTGGGGGCGGTTTTAAAGGGAAACCAAAAGGAACATCATAATGTTGGGGGTGTTTCTCAAAATTGGGCTCCCATAAAATGCGCAGGGTTTCCTTTTGGCTTCCGTTGAAATACCAACCAAAAGAGGATCCACTATTGTTTTGTCTAGGCGTAGGTGCGTGAAAACGGGGGGATTTGAACCCAACAGATTTCAGGGTTTGTTTGGGAAAGCCGTGCAAGAATTCACCAACCCAGTTAGTGGGTATCCTCAAACAACTTTCCGTGTACCCCAAAAGGTCGAAACCGAGTAGTTGCACATGAGAACCGACCCCTCAATATTCTTTATTCAAGGAAGCACATGACCATCTGAGTAAGTCTTCCTGCACATTCTCTACTCAGTCCGTGCCGGCAAGGTGTGAAACTCCGGGGTTCGAAACAATTCAAAGATCTCATCCACCTCTTTTGTTTTACTTATGGTGAAATTGGCCATGAAGTGCATGGGTCATGTGGCCCCCAGAGTACCCTCCGAAATGGCCGGTGGGCAGAAATTCCCAAAGAGTCAGAAGCAAATACAACTCATGTTGACCCCGGATTCATAAACTCGTCCTTTTAAAATTTTGTAGGGGGTGCTCCCTCCAAAAGTTATGAACCTCACTAAAGGGGGATTCCCTACCATCTTTGGGGTGCGTTTTTTCCCCTCAAAATCCGAGCTCGCTCCTCTCCACCCCACAGCCAGGGAGCGAACCAAAGGATCCAACCATTTTCCAGGAAGGGTTCTGAACGCCGTCCTAGGGGTTCTGATCGAATCTTTCTGGTGGGGGTGGGGGGGTGGGGGGGGGGGGAATTATTCGCCCGCGGAGGCTGTTTTTTTTCCCCCCTTTTTCTCAAGCCCTTTGCGCTACAAGTTGGAGAGCGAGGCCAGAGCTGGATTCAAAACAGCGCCCGCGGGTTTTGGGGCCCGTGGTATGCAAAGGCTCGGCGACACACGCACACGGGGCGTTTGTCCAGACGAAGTACATGACAAACACGCCAGGCACCAGGAGAGCATGGAAAGGCGCCTTTGGCGCCGCGGAAGCTGATCCAGACTGTAACGAGCCTCCTGGAACGGAGATGCTGAGAGGCACACAACTAAAAGGGAACGAGTTTGGTGCTGAAGACCGTGTCAGAGCAGGAATCGACGCACCACCAGCAGCCGACCTGAAGGGAAATGGTCATGACTCATGACTGGATAGGATCTGTTTTGGGGCACCGGAGATGCACGGAGCTTATGCAACGCTTCAGCATTGTTTGCCGGGTGCTTGTTTCTCTTGTTGGGATTCGGGCACGTCCCTCTAGTTGGGAAGTTTGCTACGCGAGCCAAGAGGATGGGAACTGGGCAAAAGGAAGGGGCCTTTTGTATCGGGCGTCAAAAGGACTCTGGGAACCCGTGGAAAGAAGAGGCCTCTCAAACGGGTTTGTCTGATGCTGACCCCTAAGATGATGGGTTTTTCTTTGGTTTCCCTTCAGCACACTGGAAAGGACGGCCCCCCCAAAAACACGACCGCCCCGGCTTTCCAGTACTGTTCAGCATGTCACTGTCAGATGTGATCCGTGAAAACTGATATGGGCGTGGCCCGAAATTAAGCGATCGGAGGGGCAAACCGCAGGGCTGTGGTACCCACGTTTCCACTTACCGATCGGGCAACCCATTTTGGACTTCCGGTCTTTTGAGGCCTCCGAACCTCAAGTCTCTATCACTCGAGCAACGAGTCCCAGCATGGTGGTCCTTTTGGTTTCCCCGAAAAAAAAACACGCACCCAACTTTGGGTACCCCTCCAAAAATAGATTTCAGCCAACATCCCACCGGTTTGTGTGGTTCAAGCTTGCGGCTCGTCCCATTCGCAAACCCCAAATGACTTGGATATGTTGACCAGGGCCTTTGGACAAGGTGCCAGTGTCTGAAACTGCCGCTGGAGTTGAGCCGAAGACATCGAACCGTTTCCTGGTTGCATCAAGGCTGGATCTCCGAAAAGGTCTACATCGATGAGGCGAACGGATTTCCGCCTCCGGTCCGGGCTGCGGGCGATTCCCGAAAAGCGTTTTTCCATATGGGTATGGGTCAAAACCAATGGTACCATGTGGGGATAGGTGCACCACCCGGGGATTGAGATGTTCACTGGGGGTGCGATTTGGATTTTGACCCATGGCCATATGGGTATGGGTCAAAATTACACCACGAAAGGACCGCAGGTTTTTTTGGTCCTTGGTTCCATGAACCAGGGTTCCATTTGGGGTGCCTATTTTTCACCCACAGCCATATAATATAAGTTCAACGTTTTTGGGTAGAACCTGGGACGACTTCATGCGGCTTCACTTTCAGCAATTTCTAGGTCTTTTGGAGAGAACCTGTTGCAACTGGATTGCGGGACGTACATGGTATTTGGGCTCTGTACTGCAGGGCTCCTTAAAAGATACATTTTGCCCATTTGAAACATGGCTTTTTCCACCGAAATAAAGGGAAGCCACCATTTACAAGGCAATGTTCAGGTGTATAATGCAAGGATCCTTGGTATTGGTAGCTCCCTCTCCGCTCAGTGCTTCAACCTGCAACCATTGGATGCTGAAGCGCGCGAAGCGCCAAGCGGCCAGAGCAACGAGTGCAAAGTGAAGAGCCACCGTCTTTTTCCTTCGGCCTTGTTTTGTTTTTGAGTGTACTGCGCCCTTGGAATTGAGGCTCGCGTGTTGTCCTCTCTTTGCGAAAGCGGGAGAAGTTGCTTGACCCGCTCCAGCCGACGATGGACACGGTGTCTCTTCGCCACTCGACCCATTCTTAAAGCGCCCCTCCTTTTGCCTCAGATGAATCTGAGTCGCGCCAACAATGAGCCATGCTTGCAGGCGGTTTCACAGAACTTCAGCCAAAGGGACAACAACCATAGGTGTCCTTTTTGGTTGTTTTGGTCGAACAATAGATGGCCCTGGTTTACCTGGTGGTTTAATCATCTACCAGGGCCATTTATTTCCCCTAAAAGGTCACCCATGACAACAACGTGTTTGTGTCTACCAAAATCACAGGAGCTCATTCATTCTTCATTTTCCCATCTCTGGGGGGGTTTGCCGTAGAGCTCAAGCCTTGATTTCGACCAGCCCGAGCAGGATGATTTAAGACCTTCCAGTCTACCTATGCGGCTTCGGCTTTGTTGGGTGCCCTTTTGGATGGGTTCTAGCTAAATGGGTTCCGAAAATCGGATGCCATACACATTGCTTGTTGGCTCCCAGCCAGCCCCCTTGGCTTCTTAGCTTTTTTAGTGTTTAGTGTGGGGGATCTGAAAACGGGCACCCTAGATTGCCTTTGGCAAGCCGGAGCCCTTTTCGCGTCGACCCCGCTGGCTCAACGTGTCCGGCAGCACGTCCGGACTTCGCAAATCGATCGACAGGTGGAGATGCCCTACCGGCCGAGCTACTTGCCGGAGCACGAGGCAGCCCTTGGGCGGTGGATGGGACTCGGGATTTCGCGATGTCTTGAGGCTACCTTTTTCAGCTGGGTGTAAAGGGAAACATAAAAAGGATACCACTCAGGTTGGGGTGCAATTCCCTATTTTGAC